CAGGTGCTTGGCAACTGGTGTGTATTTACAGTGGCCACAATGTCCCAGGGTCATGTGATCACCTTTGCAGCTGACTCCCAACAAGCAAAATCAATGAGGGAAGCCAGATTTGCTTAACAGCTGTATGATTCACTTAACGGCTACAATGATTTGTCTCACAACTGTGGCAAAAGTTGTAGAATCAAGCACAACTCACCTAACAAATGCCTTGCTTAGCAATAGAAATTCTGGTCCCAGTTGCGATTGTAACTCAAGGACTAACTGTAGCTTAATATAGATTAATGTGAGTGTAGTTGGGCAGTGGTTAGAATGCAGCATTGCAGGCTAATTCTGCCGACTGCCAGCAGTTCAATTGTGACCAGCTCAAGGTTGACTCAGCTTTCCATCCTTCTGAGATCAGTAAAATGAGGGCCCAGATTGTTGGGGGCAATAGGCTGGCTCTGTAAACCGCTTAGAGAGGGTTATACAGCACTATGAAGCGGTATATAAGTCAAAGTGCTATTGCTATTGCTATATCTGAAGACTTGGGAAGAATTACATTTTTTAAAAAGAATACTTCATCGTTTGCATTAAATAGTGAAGACTTGGTTAACTTTCAAGCAGGCATTAGGATACAAAATCAAACAATATATATGAAACATAGTTGCTTTTCAAAAAACAAAGTAATAGCCTGAATTATAAAATGTAATACTATACACAGAAACAACATTCAGATAAACAACAATTTTAAAAGAAGGTATTAAGGTAAGTTGAGAATTGAAATATGATGTTCTTGCAAAACAATTTTCCCGCAACTTAAACTTAGAATATTATATGGCAGCAATGTTTTTTCACTTTGGATCCTTCAGGGTAAAATGGATGTGAACAATTGACAGGTGAAAGGATGTTTAGAATTTCTAAGCTCTGAATAAGAGCCTGAATAGTTTTCTGCTGAATTCTGGCAGGAACTTAAAACATTTTTTTTTTTAAATAAATCAACTATCCTCAGAATTTCCACAAATTTGGAGGCAAAAATGGGCTGGAAATTTCCCCATCCACTTCAGTGATGACATTATGATCGCCATGGCCCCCTTTAATTCTTGTGGTCAAATAAATTATTACATTTTGGCCTCCTCCGTCAGCTGCAAAGGGTTATTATTGCCAGAAAGCAGAGATGCAAAACCAGTTTTAGAATGGACTTCCACTTTCAGGAATGAAAGATATGGCAAATGAAACATTTGTGCCTGTTAATGAACACTGAAAGAAGACACAATAACAGGTTTGATTTAAAAAGCAACAACGAGAGTGTGAAACGCTCTCCGTGGTCTCTGGATGGATGGGAATACTGAAGTGTGGACATCCAATTTAATGTTAGGAAACTCAAATAGCCTGTCAACTCTGCCTAGGATTCTTGAGTCAGTGTTGCAAATGTTCATCTTTCCTTTTACCACTAGGCGAAAGCAGCAGAGCCTGGAAGCAGAAGAAGCCAAGCAGCGATTGAAGGAGCAATCCATCTTTGTAAGTGAAGCTTCAGGAGCTGGGGGAAGGTTGCCCAGTTGTGCAGCCGGCTTCCCCCACCCCCCAGGATCTTGGCAGGAGGAAGAATGGGAGCACCAAGGCTGGCTGGGGGGGACTTTGGGGACTGACTCTGCAGCCAGGGAGATGGCATTCTTCCCAAGGGCTCTCCCTTGCTCCAGCTTAATGCTAGGTCAGGGCATAAATAGGGCTTTTTGGTGTGGTTGAGGTGCCCTGGGGCTGACGCTGACCTCTCTCCCTAGGGGGAGCAGGAGGACGATGAAGACAGGCAGCAGCCCAAAAAGTCTGAGTCGGAGGTGGAGGTGAGTGCGGCCCCGGGGCACAGCATGCATTGTCTAGGCAAAAGACTCCCCTTGCACCCTACTAGGGTACTGCTGCATGAGGTTGTGGCATTGTGTGCAAAGGTTCAGCAGGGAAAGGTAGGCTTCAGTTTGATGGCTGTGATCTAGCTGGAGTTGTGTGTCGACGGATGGAGTCTGTGCTTAAGCAGCAGGGTTGGGCCTGAGTTTTATCTTGGGGGAAGCAACGTGTGTGTGTGTGTGTGTGTGTGTGCTTTGTATTCATTTCGTTGGAAGCCAGTTTGTCGTGCTGTTGCTCTTGATGTCACTCTGTGCCATTGTTCCTGCTGGAGGGGCATGGGGGGGGCACATTGCATATGCGTGGCACGTGTCTACTTTTGTCACTCTCGAGCTGGCTACTGCATGGAAAGGATGGGGCAGAGAGTTCAGTCTGTATTTAAGGCAGCGGGTATACTACGAAGGGCTGTGCTGTGCTTGACCCTTGTCTCTCTCTCCCCTTCCCCTCGCTTCCTGGTAGGAGGCAGCTGCCATTATTGCTCAGCGGCCTGAGAACCCTCGGGAGTTCTTCCGGCAGCAAGAACGAGTGGCTTCAGCCAGCTCTGAGACACCCTCACCCTTCAACAGAACAGGTAGGCAGCTTTCAAGGATCTCCTGCTCTGGAAAGAGAAAGCCAAAAATGGCAACAGTGGCTTTCAAGGGACATAACCGTAGAAACATGGCAACGAAGGTTTGGGGGTTTATTGTCAATACTTAGGTGGCCCTTGCATTGGAAAGTGAGAAAAAGCACTTTGGTGTTTAAAGGACATGGAATATCCAGAGACCTTGGCGAATTCTGCCACTGGGAGAATCTAGGCAGAGAATGATAGGTGGCAGAAAAAGACAGGCTGGGTGGTGGCTGTATTTTTTTTTGTTTTAAATACAGGAAAGCACATTAAGCCAGCACTTTATACCAAAGCTAACTTTTAAGAAAAGGGATACCATCTAATACAAATAGAAGGACACCCTTCCATTTAACATATAAACAGGTTTTGAAACTCACACTCATAGTATATGATTGAATCCAGTTATTCCATAGAATTTGATATGTACAGTATATATCACAGACGTGAGTACACCCCTCCACATTTTGTAAATGTTTAAGTATATCTTTTCATGTGACAACACTGAAGAAATGACACTTGGCTACAATGT